CACTCGATTATTTAATAGATGCAACAGAATCTTAACGCTCAATCGTAGTTCTTATTTTCCTATAAGTAAAACAATTACCATATACAAAACATAAAAAAGCAAAGACACGTAGAACAGTTAATCTGCAACGAGACATCGCAGAGAAAACTAGACTTGTGCCAGTTGTCCGATCGGTATGTCTGGTTTACCACGTGGGATATGCGACGTCAGATCATCCCCGCAAAGAAATGACAACACGAAGTAGTAACGTGAGAGTCGTGCTACATAAATTGATGACACAATTAGCAAGCGTCGGAGCGACGTGATTTGATCACCGAAATCAGTATGCGGACTGAAACCATGGCACACCTGTGAAATACCTTTGTTTTTTGTGTATTCTTATTTCAAAACTATATTTGCCGATAAAAAGGATTTTTATTAACAAGGTATGTTGCATTATTGTTTGATTTTTATAATAATTTTTATTTTAATTAATAATGACATGTAAAACCATAGCGCATTAAAATGCTGGAAATACAACAAATTATTGTTTTTATAAATTCAATCCATCGGAAAAAAATATTTTACTAATTATTGGGAAAAATTGAGGAAAAGCCCTCACTTTTTATTAACATTTGTTATGTATTGTATTACTATGTTCATTTTACAATTAAATATTTATTTATGGTGTAGTATTTTTTATTTAAGTAAAATTATTAGTATTAAGTATTTTTTATTTTAGCTAAAATTAAAATGCAATTACAGGGTGACTAGTCTAAAATAGTTTATCTTAAAAGTTACAAGTTATAATTTAAATAGAAAAATAACTAGAATATGACATTCAAGAAAATTAATTGTGTAAACCTTCACTGTAATATATTCTAATAACATTTCAATAAACTAGTCGACACGTGTAGAACAATGCTAACCGTAGAACTCCATTGCAGTGACACTTCTATCAATACATATTGTCATCCTTATCATTCTCTTTAATAAAACAGAGACGTTAATATGTAAATATATAAATGACAATGCAGTCGAATTTTGTAGGAACATAAACAAATGAATACAGACACCGACGCCCTTCCGTTTTATAAAATAACTGAAGGTCTATCACGAATATTTGCGTGATAGTTGCGAAAACATATTCGTAATGTCATCGACAGTATGAGATTTATTAGTGTACTTTACATCCGACAGAGGGACTGTACAGATGTAATTCAATTTTTTGGCCATATTTTACGAAAACATTATCACGAATATTGGTAATAAGTACACTGAAAGTGTGTTTAACGAATGCCTGAAAAATTAAACGTAATACTTCTTAAGTTCAGTAATCACTTTTTTAATTATTGAATAACAATCATCACCAGCTCACTATATGTCCCCACCGAGGGGCTCGGAGCCTACCCTAATGTTAGGGTGACTAGGCCATAGTCAACCACGCTGGTCAAGTGCGGGATGGTTGACTTCACACATATCTTTGAATTTCTTCGCGGATATGTGCAGGTTGCATCACGATGTTTTCCTTCACCGTAAGAACGTCGGGTAAATTATGTACATATGAAAATTCGAAAAATCGAAAATCACATTGGTACATGGCGGCGGGATTCGAACCCAAGACCTGTAGATTACAAGTCAAGTGCTTAAACCACTGAGCCACCGACGCTCCTTGAATAACAATGTCCGCGGTGAATTAGCAATTATTTAAATAATATAATACTTTATGATATTTACACAGTTGCATTTTAGAAATTGTTACAAAATATCTATACTATCATAATAAAGCGTTAACACACACTTCTTTGTTGCCTAAGATGTCAGCAATTACAGCATATTTTTGAATAATTCTTTCTGTAATAAAAAGCCCTACACTTACGTCACGCTTTAGGCTATATATTTTCACGACATTAAACTTAGGAGTAAATATTTTGGATAAAAACCCTAATGTGGAAAAGAGACCATAAGTTTGCTGCCGACATCAAGGAAGCAAGATTGCCAAGGTATATCATGTTATGTCATTTTGACATTTGATAATTTGACAAACATAAACAATAAAATAAAATTTTCATAATTTCATGCGGATGAAGCCGCACGGGAATAGCTAGTCTGTGTGTATTTATCAATTCATCATTCTTGTATTATCTGTTTTGATGTGAAGTGCACGTAGAGTTTAAAAATATATTCAGATTATATTTGTGGACACCAAATGTTCAAACTACTATGAGGTTATAATTTGTAAGTATCACATATACTCGAGGCATGTAAATTGAGACAGATCACGACGCTGCGCGCTAACAAGGGCGGGCAGCGTTATTTGCATTGCCACAGTACACACGTATCAAATTATTGATGACAAATAATAAATCGGACTTCTTCCTACATCATAGTATTACATTTCATATGATTTTTTATTTCAAACTTTGAACGACACTTTATGGAGTGAACTATATGTTTGTGTAACACAGTGAAAAATATGTTTTTCAATCCTCCCGCAACCATACAAGCACTTTTAATTTTTTCTATAGTTATCTATACTAATGTTATAAATAGCAAAGATTTGTATTTTAAGATTTTTGCATGTATTCGATTCACGTAAAAACTACTCTGTCGATTTTAAAAATTCTTCCACCATTAGAAATGTAATTTATCCGTGAGTAAAATAGGCTATATTTTTATTATACGCGAACAAAGTCTCGGGAAACAACTAGTATCTTTAATTAAGGTATTAGAACTTCGACTATTCGCTGTATTTATATAAAATTCCTTTTTTGTGTTTTAAACTTTATCGCGATTTGTTTCGAAAATGTTGCAGTCAATAATTAGTAATTCGAGAGCGTCACTCAAGTCTCACATATACGATGTTGGTCAAAATCAAATATCATTAACATATTAATACAATAGTGTAAAGCAATCATTAATTCATCCTGAATGAGAATTTTAATTTATTATAATCTATTATGTTGTTAAAGATACTTGTTTATACATTTAGAAAAAAAGTAAAAACGATAGCTTGGTAAGTAGTTGCTAAGCGTTGTGTTCAAGATTTTTCTTCCATGCGATATAAAGACGCTCTACCGCTCGCCGGCCGCAAAGGATTTATTTTTAAAGACAAAAACAATTCCACAACGGGGAAAATACCGTGGCCGTTTAGAAAAATATAATATTTAGAAATAAAAAGATTCTGTCTTCATAGGTGAAAATCATATATATTTTTATCGTATATGAAACTTTCAAATTATTTTAATTACGAAAATTGCAAAACGTCATCCTTTCTCCGTCGTCTACTTTCCGTTATTACAAATCATAAAAACCTTCAGATTGTCGTAGGTTGTAAAAAAAGATACTAAAGCAAGTACAACAAATTCTTGTAAAATAATGTCAAATGTCCATGAAATTATTTTGACGATTTGCTTACCACCGGAAACACAGTAAATATGTCAGATTACCTTCTCAGCATAACTACGAGTCAATGTATAAACAGAGATTATGTGGTAATCAAAGGATTACGGTGTAGATGAGATTATCGTTATCAAATGGAATCTTATCACTAACGTTATCTTATACATCATCTCATTTTACACGTGTTAAAGAAAAATACGTGTCCGTTTTATTATAAAGAAAGAGTAAATTTTGGAATCTCAACCTCGCTTTGAATTCTAATGAAGCGATATTTATTCTCTTCACACAGTAACGTTCAATTTAAGATTCCATTTTTAAAATTAAGAGAACGAAATGTATCTTTTTTAATATACTACAAACTACTCAATGCAGAATAAAAAAGTTAATTGTTAAAAAAATAAAATGTTTTATTTAAAATATTACCAACATTCAGAATGTATCCTTTTTCTTATATTTAAGTTATTAAATACAACAAGCATTATATGTATTAATAAAGATAAAATTATTGCAAATTTGTCGTCAAGATGTTGGTTACTTTTACATATGCCACATTTGTTAGCGGCTTTTTGTTTTCGTAAATCACAACGATTTTAAAGTGCACCGACGGTGGCGGCATCAGGTGCTATACACTCACGCAAATATTTTAAGAAAATACCGAGAATGTTACATTAGTGATGTACGCGATATCGATATTTCTTTCCATCGAATGTTAAATATAAAAAAATGTAATACATAATTTATAACCTATAACTTCTCTGAAATACTATTGAGGTTACATTAAATTAATAGATATATTAACAATCATCTCTTTTCACTTTTAAAGTTTGTTTTGGTTATCTAAATATTTTATAGTAAAAATAAATATCGTTATATTTAATAGTCGAATGTTAAATTATGTAAATATATCGAGTGTCTGCTGGGGTATCTTGACTAGCGAGGGGTGTCGCTCGGCCGCATCGCGCAGCCAAACGGTAAACACTTTGCTGTAATCTCGAGATGAGAAAACTTTCAGTTCTCTTAATTCAGAAACTTATTCAACAACCTAACAACCTTAGAGCGGACCGCCCGCGCCCGTCGCGCCGGACCCAACACAAACAAACCTTACTACTCTTTAATCTTTGTCTTTTATTAAAATAAACATTTACATAAAACACAAATGCTTTTTGTTATACTATTTACAACAATTTAAATAAAATACCCCATTGCATAAGAATTAATTTTTCATTAATAAATATCAGATTTATAATTATAACCGTAGGATTTCATTGCCGAAAAACCTTTAAAAACAGTGTCTTCTCCTTATACCCTTTAAAAATAAACCAAAGACGAAAAATTTTGAAGATGTCTTGGGATTACCAAGGCAAGTATACCCGTACATAATGTGCAGTGAACGGTTTTCAAATTATTAATTCTATTAGCATTATGGTATAACACTGCTATCGAATATGCCTCTGAACAAGTCAACAAGCATTAAAGGCTTACCGAATGCCTACGCCATACATTGAACGATAATATACGTCGGTAAACATCACTACACGCCGCACACCACAGTCTAGCGTCACTCGTTATAGCACCTAGTACATAATATTAGTTTTAAAAAATAAAAAGCGTTGAAATGAAAACAACTTTATAAAGCATTCGCTGGAAGTGATTCGGATGTGCCGTGTCAATTCAATTACGTACGCCGAGAGCTTTACCGCGTCGAAGATTAAGGCAATGAAAAAATATTATAATAAAATACCTAGCAAACATCTCATAGACAGGTAGGTCGTTATTTAATAACAAATCAACTTAAACATTTTGATTTTCCTCTTGGATTTATTTTATTGTCATGTAAGTAAAGTTAATTTTTTTATAAAAATTTAAATAAACTTTTTCAACATAATTTATCTCTCTTTTTGACCGACTTCCCAAAAGAAGGAGGTACTCAATTCGTAAAAATAATAAACATAAAAAAATAAACATACAGATTTTTTTTATGTGTGTTACGGTATAATTATATTTAACATTTTTGACAATATAGGCGTTAGCAGCCTTTCCAAATAAGCTGATTTGAGAATGAAACCATTACAATTGCTTAAAAGACTTTCATTACCCAATTGGCATTCGTCAACAAACACGTTCCGTTTGAATACTTATATGATATAAGCATACCTTAATACGATAGTCTCATTCCAGATGAGTCCGGGTAAACGCAGCCCGCTCTGCGAAGCAACCGACGCTCGACCCAGCGTCACTGTCACCGACATGGACACCGTGCACGAAGAAAATGATGACAGGTCAGTACTTCACTATATTAAAAAATCTTTTAAAACACTTTTGGTAGTACTGGCCACAAAAAACCACACAATGTTGCAAAAATTAAAACCTACCGATGTTTAAAGAACAATTACAATAACAAGTAAATAATAACAATTCGTTTCGTATTGTTAAAACTTAATGGATATCAGTTATAAATATACCTACTTTCGTAAGTAACAAAAAAATAGATTAAAAGTTAAAGTACAGGCATAATTTGCTGAAAGGTACAACAATAAAAAAAAAACGATCTGTAGTTTTATAAAAAAAAAAAACAATGTTATTATGAATTCAAATGCAGTACAATAATTTTCTTAATGTGTAACAAAATTTAATTTGTATTGTACAATTTGAAAACGAAATGAAGAATATTTTTAATAATAAAATTCGCACAGATTATAATTTTATAACTGTCAAGTGAACAATGAAACAGAGTATGCTAGGATTTTAATTAAAGTTTGTCTTGAATTGTACTTTCTTTGTCCTTACTTATAACTCACTTTTATCTTTTATCTCTCATAAAGGATTTGCTGTAGAGACAAATATCTCTTTACACGAGTATGCAATTTATTTGTCTCATATTTATGGTAACTTTTAATCCCGAGAAATAATTTTCTAGAAACATAATAACAAAACGTTTTTATTTTATTTTATTGTAATTGTAATAAAAAAAAAAACGTTAATACACGTTTTCTGGGAACGTGTATTTTACTGGCATTGGAAACATGTATTTTCGTGTAAACTTGTTTGAATACTTTTTTTTTAAATTACCCCAATAGATAATGTCTATGAACATCTATTTAAATAACTCTCATAACTCTAACTATGTCCACACTGAGAAAAAATAGGATTTGAATTAAATTGATAAATCAAAACAGACGGCGAAACGGGGAAGCGAAAGAGTAAATTGAATAAATTATGCTCTTTGAAATAAGTAAATACATTACTTTGAAAATAAATAAAAGCATCGAAAACATATCATGTTGCTTTGGAAAGATAAACATAATTGCTTTGTAAAAAATACTTACCTAAAATAAAAACGATTTAAAATAATATTCAACATCCCGCATCTAAATAATTGCTAAAAAGGGACTACCATTTAAATGAATTTAAATATATAAAATAAAGTGTATGCTAAATTTAGTCAAGGAGAAAATGTACATTGTAATATTTTCGTATCGAATAGATGTGGCGCGGATACATGGAAGCTTAGGGAGACATTTCCGGCGGGCGGATGCACATTTTGGAGATTTTACGCTCAGAGCGCTGAAGTCGAAATAGTTCAATACAACTCAACTTCAATACATTCTTCTTTAAATATTATAAAATTTACAGGGTGGCCCAATTATCTTTAAACCTTTGATGTAATTATTCAAAGTAATACTGATAATCAAAAACAATAAGATGTAAGTTACGATCTCGTAATCGTTTTATTATTCGATGTTTAGACGATGTGATCTCGATTCGTTTTATATATCGATGTTAGAATAAAAATAACATTAAGTTATTGTATAATTATCAACTGAAAAACGATTCGACACTGTAGTTTTAAATAATGTTTCCATCAAAACAATGTAAACGATTTCTCAACACACTGTATCAAAAGGGAGGTATGAAATGCATACGCAAAGAGGGATTCCGGTGCAGTAACGGCAGCAAAGCTTCAAAAATATTTATGACGTTTGATAGACCGCTTTGTGTCGCCCAACGCACCTTTCTCTCGATTCTTTTCATCTATTTCTATTGTATACGCCAGTTATTTTCAGATTTGATTTTTAGTGTTCAATAAAATTTTTGATGAAATAAAAAGTTGTGAAAGCGCATTGATTTTGTGTCTCTATTCGTATTTAAGACAGAAACAGTGTATATAAAACCACAAAGTTGTTATCTTCCTTAGTGCATTCTTTATCAATAAAATCATCGTAAACAAGTTAGAAGAAAAACAGCACCTTAACTGCAAATACATTTGAGATAGCACAAATGTTATTTGATATATTGAATATTGTTTGATGAACAAACCATGAGATTCTAAAGCGAAGTGTATTACTCTCGAAAGCCTCTTACGGTGAGAGCGGGCCTATGAACTCCTTTATGCACCGTTCAGCTCGATACTACACTACGCTTACCCTAGCGCGCTTTATGCATCATGCCTCATGCTTCATGGACGTTACATAAATACCTTTAATAGTTTAAAGTATAAAATATTTTATAAAAATAGATATAAAACATCTCTTTAATGTCCGTTATGGCAAATGAGTTGTAACAGTCTTTTTTACCAATTCTTATTAAGTCTACTAAATAATTCGAAATTAGCAATTCCAAATTCTAATTCTATCTACCGTATTTTTTTCAATATAATTGAGACAAATCTAAAGGCCGAAAGCTTTCAGTTCCTTAAGTAACTTTTAAAGCTCCTAACACTTATAATACGAGTATGTGTAAATTCTTCTTATGTCTCTAGTGATGAATCATCATACTCCGACCTCGGCAGACTACGTGAGAGGACGAGGGCCATGCTTGGCACCGCTGCGGACCCGCTCATACAGAACTCACACTCACAGCCGAATAGTAGACGTATGTCTAGCGATATCGATGCTAAGCTCGCCGCCAACCTTAACACAAGGTGCGTACACTTTCAGCATCAACTTTCATATATAATTCCATTAAAATTACGTTGCCAATGAAAACAAAATACGTCACATTTTAGAACTACGCATTATTCAGTGTTTTCAGTTCATAATTTTTTTCGTATTTAAAAGGACGTGATGTTATGAAAGAGACCTATGTAAAGTCTTGATTAAAATAAATGAATTTGTTTCATATGTTACTTAGACGTCCGTCAGCAATAATCGCTGCATTTCGACGTCCATCGCAAGCGTTGGCACTGTGCGCGGCAACACAGCGTCGCTTTCTATCAGAACTGTCACCACATTCCCGCACTTCTGTTGCCTCCACGACACACGAACCACCACCATCCGCAGCAGAAATACTTGGACAGTAAGTAATAAACAAATGTTAATTTTTGTGTTCTCTACTCCTTTACGGGTAACTGTTTAACCGAATCATTTTTTCTTTTTATTACGAAAGTTCAAATTTAAGATGTTACATTATCACAAAAACTGATTTCCTTATTTTGCAATACTAAACTTATTAAAAATACTACGGATTCGTCATTTCTACTCCAAAGTTGTCCAATTAATGCTAATCTACTTAACCTAACTACAATCTCCTAGCAGGCCGAGCCGAGGTGAACTATTTGTTCCATAATAATTAGGTTAATTGAAGCACAATACGGATTATATTTCGAGTTAATTTCAATACAAAACGCACAAATACATGCGCTCCGCTATAATGATAATGACCTCTCTATAGTTCAATTAAGATTTATGAAAATTTCCTTGTAATATGTACAGTCAAGATCTAGGAAAATCTCAGTCATTCCACTATGATAACTGATATTTTTTTTATTATTATTACAATGCATTACCATTAGTGATTGCTGCAGCATATACATAAGCACATAACACATCAATTATTTTATTGCAATTCTATATAATAAAATAAGTGAATACTTTTAAGTAGGATCCTCTTTCTGTGGATTTCCATACCTTTCCGTCAACTCTCTTGTACATTCCTTTTACCCTACCATCTATACTAATATAATAAATCATAAACACACTCTACTTTGTTTCGTAGGTTGTGAGCAATCGCAGCATGTTTTTTAATAATTCTTTCTCTAATAAGAAGCCCTACACTTACGACATGATTTAGGCTATATATTTTCATGCTCATTAACTCAAGGGGTAAATAAATTAGAAAAAACCTCCATGTAGGAAAGGGACCATAAGCTACAAGCTGCCAACATTAAGGAAACAAAGTTATTATGGTAACGATAATTTAGAATTGAGAGTTTGACAAATGTAAACAATACTATAAAGATTTTATAACTTCTTACGGATGAAGTCGTATGGGTACAGCTAGTTCCTTAATAAAAATATTCTTTAACTAAGATTTGTGTTATTATAAGGATATACGAGTAAGTCATAAATGTAATAATATAGATAAAACGGTATCGTTCGATATCTATAGCTACATATCTCTATCTTCCTACAGTATATCGCATCTTAATATCATGTCCATCATCTCAAGTTGAATGGAATTTCCATTACTGCTAATCCGTTAATGCGATTATAACATCATTACAATGCTGTATAATTACCACTTTAATAAATATCCGATATTGTTAGTATAGGAAATTAGCTAATGTATTTAAAAATGTATAGATCATGGACATAAGATTAATGTTCCACCACTGGCTGACAGAGGCTCAGTTAGCTTGAAAGTGTCGTCACTATCAGAATTAGTACCAAAATCCGATATTTCCTTCACATGTTTCATACGTTGGATTGTTATCTGTCAATTTACAAGAATTGTGGGACAGGCTCTAAACTTAAAACTTTGTTTGTTTGATTATAATTAATAGGCTCAAAAACTACTGGGCTGGTTTTAAAAATCCTTAACCGTTAGAAATGTAATGAATGTGTGAGTAACAGCCTTTATTTCGTATTATTTTTTAATTTTACGCAGGCGAAGTCGCTGGCAACAGTTAGTCGATTATAAATGAAAAGTTACATGAAAGGTATATATTAAGATAAAAAAACATATGATGTGGTATGTTGTTCGCAGTGAGGCGTTAAGTAAGGCACTGTCAGCTCTTTACGCCAAATTACTAGTGGTGCTCGGGCTGGCGTTTCCAGTTACTGAAGTAATTGCCACTGGTGTGCCGGAATCGTATTATCAGGTTATATATTGTTTATATGTGTAACTTTATGTACGTGTCTATTAGTAAATCGATGACTAAAATTTTAAAAGGCCTTATACTACCTCCCTTAACTAATTTTCTGATTTGAAAAAAATGTACATTTTTTTCAGGGTTTTTACTTATATCTGTACTTAGTGTCGGTGCTGTTTGTGATATTTCAATACGCGAACCTGATCCGACAGAAAGCTGTTAATTCGATCATCCACGAACACGGTAAGAGTTCAACCCGATCATATTGTACTGAGGAGGTCATATGAAAAAGGACATCTAGCAAAGTCATGAGTTTTAGTAATTAGCCGCATTTGCGTAACAAAATGCGACATTAAAATCGCATCTCGTTTGCATAATTGCTACCGCTAAGGATATTACCTTCTTTGCTTCTTTGCTTTGTATTCCACTAACTTCTTCAGCCATTCGGCATTAGTTTTAATTGCGAATTAGCCTTTTCGTGTGTTGAAAAGTCAAAACTATTTATGTTCCTATTGTATTTACAGAAAATCCAGATAATGGAAAAACGACGCCAGGGGAAAAAAATAAACAGAAGGAGACAATTTCGCGTTATGGCAGCTTTTATTTGAGATTAGGAGCCATGGGTAAAGACTATTTATCCTGAAACATTTCCTCAGCCCTTAAAAGCCTGATTATTTAAATAAAATTAAAAAAATATTAAAGTGTACCCTTTACTGTGTTTACTAATGGGGGAAAATATTAAAAAAACTCAAAATGATATTTTAATATTCTTCCAACTTGTTGCCGAAAAATCCATACCTTCAAAGATAGTAATATTTTCGATAGCCTTTTGACTTTCTGACTTAAAGAGTCAAAAGTAACATGTAAACAGCCTTATTTTAAAATGAAATCGATTGTAGATGCCCTACGCTATTTATAACCTCGGTATCAAATGAAACTTCAGGTATTTAAGGATCAAATTTTATTGTCAAAATGATCATTGAAATTCTTAAATAACTGAATAATAGATATTGTGAATTATTTTGTTACGATGTTTTTAGCATTTGGTATTGGTTCGATGGTGTACAGTGGATTGGAATTCGGTGAATACTTCGAAATGACAGATCGCTGTCGATCGATCATGTCCGCGCTGACGCCGGCGTTGAGAATGGCATTAACTTTGGCTCAGATGCAGTTCATTTTCCTAACGAACAAAGACATCGGGGCGGGCAGCTATAAAATAGTGCAGAGATTCGGAATCATGCATATGATAGCGACCAATCTGTGCGAGTGGCTGTATGTGCTAGTCGAGGAGACAAAGCATGAAATACATCACTTGGAACATTCGATACCGGAGACGAACATATCTCAGAATGAAACGACGGAGCTGCATTGTCGACGAGCTAATATTATGGGCGCCTTGTTACAAAACGCATCACCCTTCTTGTTTCCTTGCACGATTGAATATTCGCTCATCTGTGCTGTTATATTGTATGAAATGTGGAAAGAGGTACATTTTTATTTCAAAATTTATTTTAAACTTTAAACGTTGCTGCATAGAATAAAGAGTAGTCGTTACTGTATCCGAACTTTAAAGTACTCTTGTAATTGTTTTCCGTTTATTTTCAGGTAAAATGTACACCGGAGGATTTTGAAAAAAAATTCAACATTCCTAAAAACAAATCGAGAAATAATTCAGTTACACCAGAAAAAATCTTACAACAATTCGGTAAGAATCCGACGTACTTATATCCAATGTGAACTTTATTTATATTCTTAGAGCGTGCGCACACCTGAAACTAAACTATCGGACAACTTTTTAGTCTCGCTTTGATTCCTGTGAGCTCATATGGAGATGAGCACACTACTCAATTTTTAATTATGCAACCTATTAGTTGAATGACTGCGAAACAATCGACAATCACAAAACAGTATGCGTTAGTTTAGTCAAAGATGTGCGCCCGCTCTTAGTATATTAATTTCTTATAATAATCGTTTATCTTGTTACAGCGGGTATGCTGGGTGTGAGTTCGCCTCACGGAAGCCGCACCGCCCTGCACCACTTCTCAGTGGATTGCTCACACGCACACCGCGGTCTCTTCGCCGGCATACTGCTTATCGTCTTCACTATTATATCTCTCATCATGTTCTTCGTTCTAGCACACAATCCGAAGACTATACACGTAATTTACTTCACATTGTTTTTATTCTTTGGTGGAGTCGTTCATTACAAATGTATACTAACAAGTGCGAATCTTTGGATGAAAAGCATGAGTAGTTATTATGTGTTTGATGTGTATCAGTAACTTGCATAGTAATATGTTTTTAATTTCTGTTTTAGGATGCTATATTTCAAGTAAACATTTGCGAATTGATACTATACTCTTTGACTCTGTTAGCGTCTGCCACTGCTTTGAAGCAAATGAGAGCATTGCCGTATAAACGAAAATCTCAAGGTGAGTAAATATTACATGCCTTACACATGATGACATGTAAAGAGATTACTATATGTACAGTCATTAAGAGCGTGCACAAATGACTAAACTATCATTGAGAACTATCATCTATGGAGGTGCGCACACTACTCCATTTTAGTTATGCAACTAAACAGTTGAATTAACAATCGAAAAAATCGACGGTCGCAATGCAAGGTGCGTCCGCGTTTAATGGGATAATTTAAATATTCTCTTATTCTCATATTTCCTTTCAGCAATTTTAGGTCTTGATACATCTTTATTGATCTTGGCGCAGTCGGGGATGTTTGTGTATTGCATGTTCAGTCTGATCGGCAGTCACCATACTATGTACAATGACAACAGCACCGGCGTCACTGGATTCTTCTCAGAACTATTATCATTGAATCAGGTGATAGAAAATAATTATTGATATAAGTGTAATCTAGTGGTTGACCACGATCCCACCTAAAGTCCAATTATTAATAGTAGAAGGAAGCAAAAAAATGAGAGAAGGTAAAAAGTGAAGTAGAGATTAATAGAAACGGGAGAACATAGACAAATGTAACTTAACATACGGAATATTCATATGTTATAACGACATTTGAGGTTGATTCGTTGATTGAACGAAGATTTGTAACTTCTCTTGCTCTAACATTTTCAACTCTTGCTTGCACTCTATGCATCAAACTAGGTAGAAGTTGCATACATAGAATATAGTTCCTGACTATTCTTCGTTTCCAGACCATCTTGCAATCTCTGTTCATCCTGGATGCATGGTGGCGTCGCAGTAGCACGTCGGAGCAGCGCCGACAGAAGCCGGGTCGACAACTCGTCACCTTCCTCCTCGTTGCCAACATGGCCATGTGGGCTATCAATACATTGGAAAAGGTAACTTTGATGTCTAACTTTAATAATCCCAATCTATTGAAAGTATTTTTGGAGTAGGAAGAATAAATTTTAGGAGGTAATAAAGTCCACATACGAGTATAAAGAAATTTCGTCCAAGCAATAAATTATGCTGTTCTTAAAATTATATACGATGATAGTCTATGGCTGTACAAAAAGGACAAGCATGTAATATTTACTAATTCATGTTATTATCCTCTATTCAATAAAAGATTTTTAAGTAATATGTAGGCATTCCTGTTTTCGAAACAAGTTTCCGTAGTGTAGCGGTTATCACGTGTGCTTCACACGCACAAGGTCCCCGGTTCGATCCCGGGCGGGAACAATTTTATTTTATAAATTGTTAACAAAATAATTCCCTACTCAACGTTTATCGAAGTTATTTTATCGCATGCAAATACAAAAAAAAATAAATAATATATCAGTACCAATACTAAAACTGTTTAACTGCATAATGGTTTTTTTTACAGAATCGAGCAGAATTCCGTCCAGCACACTTGGCGTTTTACGGTCCATGGGCTTGGACAATAATAACGCATGTGTCGATGCCGCTGGCAATTTTCTACCGCTTCCACTCCACAATATGCCTCTTCGAAATTTGGAAGAACAGCTTCAAGAACAAACCAATTTACTTAAATGTATAAGATTAACAAGGAAATTTTACAACTTACTTTGAAAAATAAATATATTTTACATAGCTTCTTTTTTAATCGTTAATTTAAGACTTTTTAAAAATGGAATATGATTGGTATAATAAAAGTTAATGTATATTAACCAACATAAAGTGTACGCTGTGAGAGCTCTACGGAAAACTTCGTAGAAGCGAGGTTTTTAAAGAAACGCTACATGTTGCGCCATCTAGTTTCAGAACAGACTATTTCTGCATACCATATTATTTTTACCACTTTATTCTGAGAAGGTTTTAAATAAAATCAAATGGAGTATTGTTTTATTTTGAATCGTTGACAAACGATGTTCCCAAAATTGTTAACTCTAATCCATTAAACACATTAAAATATCACATGTAAAAATACTGTATAATTGTTAAACATGTTTTCTTAGTTATGAAGGAGAAGTATGATCCAAAAACTCATATGAATCAAAGTGAGACTAAACAGTTGTGCTATAGTTTAGTTTCAGGTGTGCGCAAGCTCTTAGTGTACGAAATCAATTGTAACATTTTAAAGTAAACGCAATTAGCGAAGTATTGTTGTCGGCAGTTAGTTCGTGACAAAGGGTTAGTATTGAATGCGGTAAATGCCTCATCACGTTCCACGGAAATTTTAACAAACAATGTAAGATTTTAGATTTGTTTTAGAGTTATTTTGTTTATGGAGTTTCGCTATTCATTTGTATGAAGTTATTATTATTTCTGAGCTTAAGTTATTTACATTAACAACCATATTAAAGTGTGATGTTATGCGTTTCAAAAACTATTGCAGCATATATTATTTCGAAACATAATCAAGTGATTCTTTTGTTGAATTAAAATATTAAATTATTAAAAATAAACAAACTCATAAGTCAGATCTTCCAATGCACCCGCACTATCAAGTTGTATAGCATTATCTGTGGCTGTAGCGAACATAACGGAGTCTGTAAATACGCAAGAATAAGCAATGCTAGCCGAGTGGAGTCACCTATTATTCCGTAGGCATTAACTCGTGAATGACAGGGTGAGGATAAACATTGACATCGGATATCCCCACTACCAATATTCTCTGTGGGCCGTATTCTGACGTCGCTTATCAATTGTTGATGTACCATACGTAGTCGATACTCATGATGAACACAGTATCTTATACTTGCACTTTTAATATCAGTTAAAAACAACCTTGTGATATTTATTCCGTATTTATACTAGTAATAAATAAACGAGTCTGCAAGCTAATGTAAGGTAAACGTCACGCGGCAAGGCGCTGCGTAATGACTGAAGATTAAAAAAGTAAACAAAGTTACGCGCAGCCGGAACGTCCAATAACATTTTATATTTGGAACAGAATTTAATACTGGAGCAGAAATAAGCTGTAAGCGGTAAGTCACAGGATCGTTTAGAAGTAGACGTCTAATTAACCGCGTAGTGCTGGGAGATGAGG